GGGCGGAGGGGGCGCGGGGCCGCGGGCTAGCGAGCGCCTCTAACTCCTCGCAGACGAAAGCGCTGATCGACAAGCTGCAGAAGCTGGTGTCCTCGGACGGCAGGTTTAAGAACCTGCGAGAAGCGCTGAAGAAGTGAGTGTGTCCCTCCCCACGTCACCTCCTCGCGGGGGACTGCGCCCCGCGGCATTCACCCCCCGCACCCCATCTGGCTGGAGCAGGAGTCTGTCTGTCCGTCTGTGTGTCTGTATGTCCGTCTGTCTCCCCCCAGGCGGGTCAGCCTTGTCCTCCATCCTCTGCCCGAGAAACTCCCGTCTGGGGGCCCCTCCCGGACGGGCCCAGGGAGGACCCCGCGGCCTCAGAGTCCTTGATTCTAAAATGCACGGTTTTGGGATTTTTCTTTTTTTTCTTTAACATTTTAGTATTTCTGACACCGGGATACGTCTTAGAGGCGCCGTCTCTCTCGAATAGGAGTGTGTTTTTACTCCCTGTACTTGGGAATCGGGCCTCAAAACAAAAGTACCGCCCTGGCCCGTGTGGCTCAGTGGTTAGAGCGTCGGCCGCGGGGTCGATTCCTGGTCAAGGGCCGGTACCTCGGTTGCAGATTTTTAAAAATTACTTTTATTTATTTATTTGGTTAATCCTCACCTGAGGATATTTTTCCATTGATTTTTGTTGTTGTTTAGAGAGAGTGGAAGGGAGGGGGAGAGACGGAGAGAGAGAGAAACATCGATGTGAGAGAGACACATCCATGGGCTGCCTCCCCCCTGCACCCGGGCCGGGGATCGAGCCTGAAACGGAGGTACATGCCCTTGACCAGCATTGAACCCGAGACCCTCCGGTCCGCAGGCCGGTGCCCTATCCACTGAGCCACACCAGCCAGGGCTCGGTTTTGGGTTTGATCGCCAGTCCTGGCCGGGATGTGTCTCTCTCACATCGATGTTTCTCTCTCTATCTTGCTCTCCACTCTCTCTGAAATCAATGAAAAAAATAGCCTGGGGTGAGGATTTAAAAAAAAGTCCCTTCACAGACAGTGCATCTGAGAATCAAAGAAACGCCCTTCGACCCATCACTGCCCCTCGGTCTGCAGACCCCCCGCCCCCCAGCTCCTGCAGCTCATCCACGCGCCCCTGAGGCGGCTCTCAGCCCCGGTGGGTCCGAGAGCAGGGAGGTCCCTGGTGGGGGCCC